ACGTGGGAAAATACCCGAACAAAGCTGAATGCCATATATATATATATATATATATACACACACACACACACAACATATATATATATATATATGTGTACACACACACACACACACACATATTGGCCCCTCTGGGTTTCCCGCTCAGCTGGCAGAATTTTCCCCGAAATCAGTTTTAAACTAGGTACATATACAATCTTTTGCATTAAAAAAAAAAATGCACATTTTTTAAAAAAACAACAACAGGTGCAATAAGGCTTACGGGCAAAAGGAACAAGTGCATCAACACAACACATTTTTGTGCATCTTTTCCTTGCAATCAGCTTTATAAACTTGGGACATCTACTATATACTAAATGGGGTCAGTATTATGCATAGGTTTTTTTGTTTTTTTTACAGGGGTGGGTTTCAGCCGGTTCACGCCGGTTTGGCCAAACCAGATGTTAATTTTACATCCAGTTGGGTGAACCGGTAGTTCCGACGACTGGCTGGTCCTGCCTCCAGAGAGTCCCCCCGTAGCCCATGGGGGGGGCGGGAAACTGACCTCCTGCAGCCCGTTTTCGCTCCCGTGGTGGTGCAGGAGGCCGGCTAGGCTATGCCCACCATGGCCACGCCCACCCAGCAACCGGGCAGAGAACAACAAGGCATATGGGCGAATTATAATTGCATAGCTAATGCAGGTTTGGCATGTCTGGGGGGATTTCTCGCGGCAACTTCCGCGCCAAAAGCCAAGGCCACTTGTGAGTTTTCAAGGCACAAATTTTTGCAAGTTTTAATTCCCGTCTCAGTGCTTAGAGCGTCAAAAGAATTCCATTGGCATAGCATGTCGGACAGAAGTGTACGTAGGAAAACCTAGATAAACTCAGGTCTTTCCTTCCCTAATAAATCAATTTGATTGCAATTGACTCAAGACTATCAAACCCCCAAAGAAGAAGAAAAAAAACAAACTTTAATTAAAAAATAGATTCAGAGAAGGAAGGAGGGAGCATTTTGCCCTACTGCCAAAACTTCTCCTGAATTAAATTCTTAAAATTTCACCCGCTTAAGAGAAATTCGAGCAGCTTAATTCTAGAAATAGGTCTTATTTCTACTTAGGGATTGCAAAATTCAAGCGATTTAATTCTAGAAGTAGCAAAAATGGACTGATTCTTCCTTCTCCATCGCCTGCACCCTGAAAAATTATTTGGATTTTTTTTTTTTAATCAGCACATTGTTCAAAAATATCCTTCTATCTCCCTCACCTACACATTGAAAAGTCATCTATTTTTAAATCAGCAATAGACTGGTCTCCATTGAATATAAAAATTATTTCCCCACTTGCAACTCAAAACCTTGGGAAAAAATGAATGCTAAATTATTTTTTCCTTGGCTGCTTCATTGTGCTTCTCCTTTTCCATTTGGTGGAAAGAATGTGAATTCTTTACATTGCAAAATTTTTTTAAAAAAAGTTTAGGGTGAACCATTCATCAAAGCCATTCTGCATTTCGGAAAATTACAGAAGAGGGGAGGCATCGTTTATTTATTAAATTTTTACGCTGCCCAGTGTCGCTATATCCATCAGAAGGCTGGCGTACAAAATTTAATAAACAAAGAATACATATATCACTTTAATGTAATCCAGAGAAAACTCTGGGAAATGGGATCTGGGCTGTGGGATGGGAACAGATATCCTTCCTTTTAAATAATTCCCAAAATTAGAATTTTGAGAACAAAAATGGATATAACTTCTAGTTCTATTGAAAAATGGACAATACAAAAACCTTATAGATTACGGATTAACAGAGTTGGGAGGGATCTTGTAGGTCATCTAGTCCAACCCGTCACCCAAGCAGGAGACCCTGCACCGGTGGTGGGATTCAACAATTTTTACTATCAGTTCTGCGGGCGTGGCTTGGTGGGCATGGCAGGGGAAGGATACTATAAAATCTCTATTCCCTCCTCACTCCTGGGGGGAAGGTTACCATCATTTCTCTGAACTATTCAACACTTCCACTACCAGTTCTCCAGAACCGGTCAGAACCTGCTGAAGACCCACCTCTGCCTTACACCATTTCTGACAGTCCAATCTCTTCTTGAAAATCTCAACCTAGGTTAGCCAAAAGACCGTCAAGAGGTTGGTCTACAAAATCCTATCGGGTTTTCTGCTTGAGGCAGGGGGTTGGACTAGAAGACCTCCAGGGTCCCTTCCAACTCTGTTCTTCTGTTAAGAGGAAGAGGAGAAAGAGAAGAGAAAGGTCTCCTGCATTAGGAGGTTCGACTAGATGACCTCCAAGGTCCCTTCAAACTGTTATTCTGAGGAGGAGGAGGAAGAGAAAAGGAGACGGGGAGAAGGGTTTCCTGTCTGAGTAGAGGGTTGGACTAGAAGACCTCCAGGGTCCCTTCCAACTCTGTTCTTCTGTTAAGAGGAGGAGGAGAAAGAGAAGGACCTCCTGCATGAGAAGGGGGTTGGACTAGATGACTTCTAAGGTCCTTTCTCACCCTGTCATTCTATGATTCTGTAAGGGTCTCCTGCTTGAGTAGGGGGTTGGACTAGAAGGCCTCCAGGGTCCCTTCCAACCCTGTGACTCTGTTCTTCTGTTCTTGTTTACAGTCTATAAAAACTTTCCTGAAGCTCTGAGGTTGAAGGCTGATGACTCACCTAGGCTTTTACAGTTATTTTTTTTTATTTTCTCTGTTTCTCCTTTTGCTCCACCAAGATTGAGCTGTGAAATTCCCTTTATTTTAATGTAAAACTTTGAAACATTCATCCCTCCCTCTGTCCCCGGATTTGGAGGGCATTTGGATATTTGGCAAATGGAATTAGACATCCAATTTCCTTCTTTCTTTCTTTCTTTTTTTTTAGGGCGTAGGTTGAGGTTACGGGAGTTGGGAGCAAACAACTCCTTGCCGGTTCCTACCACTCCTTACTCACGGATCTGCCACGTAGCTAAGACTCTCTGCCTTGAAAAGGGATCGATTGTCTAAACAGGCAGAGTTGGTTAATCCCATTTTTCCCCCCCCCACAAGAATAATAATAACAATTTGCAAACTGGAGTGTTTGAAATTTAGCACAGATATTTTCTGGCTTTTTAACACGGGGCCGAAGAGGAATCCTTGGCTATTTTGTTCTTTCGATCTCAGTTACAATTGGGGTTATTTCTGCCTGCCTTCCCAAATCGATTCGAAATATTAATCCATCTTTTATGGCTTTGGATGTCCCTTCCTCTCACATAGAGCTGTCAAATTATCTCTAGTGTCGTGCTTATTAAAAAAGGAGTGTGTAAAAAGTAGTTCAATCTTCCACCAAACACTTGTGTAACCAATTTACACAAACACTAAGTTCTTGCTTAACCAATTTAACCAACTGAACAAAAGGCTAGTTAAACAGTTGTTTCACCAATTTAACCAAACTACCCAAATTTAACCAAACCCTAGTTAAATACTCGATCAACCAATTTACGCAACACACTAAACACTTGGCTAAGCAGTTGGACCAAGCCCTAATTAAATACTTGTTTAACTAATTTAAGCAATCACCCCAGTTTAACCAAATACCAATTAAAAGACGTATTTACAACTAGTGTTTATAAAAACACTAGTTAAACACTTGTTTGACCAATTTAAGTGATTTACTCGCTTAACCAACTTAACCAATCTACCCAATTTAACCAAATACCAGTTAAAACTTACTTATTTATTAACTTATTTACAACTACTGTTTATAAAAATACCAGTTACACAATTGTTTAACCAATTTAAACAAACACTAGTTAAATATTGGTTTAACCAATTTAACCAATCTACCCAATTTAACCGAACACTAAATACCTGTTTAACCAATTTAACCAATGTACTTGTTTAACCAATTTAACCAATCTACCCAATTTAACAAAAAAACTAGTTAAACACTAGTTTAACCAAACTACCCGATTTACGCAAACCCATTTAACCAAACACGAGTTTAACACTTGTTTAAAAAACAAAATGTAATGACGAGCAAGGTGCATTGAGCAAAGGAATAAAAACTCGGTCTTAAAACAAGGCATTCCCTAATTCCGTTGAATTTCATTTTGGCACATTTTTTTAAAGCATCATTCTTTATAGTTTTTCCCCAACCAGGACAACTTTTGAGAGGTGTGGACTTCAATTCCCAGAATTCCTCAGCTAGACACGTCAGAATTCTGGGAGTGGAAGTCCCCACTTTTTAAAGTTGCCAATGAAGCTTTGAGTCCAACATTTTGCAACCTTGTGCATACTTTAGCAAATCTTAAAAACACAACAGCTATTGTGTTGTCCTCAATTCCCTCGAATTTAGCCGTTCCCGGGAGGGTCCCGTTTGTTGTAATCCATGCAGAACAAACACACTTCCATTTGTGTACGAAGCTTCGTTGCGTTCTGCCAACCTCTCATTTTATGGGGAAAAAAGGCACTTTTTCACCAACCGATCCAGAAATCTTTTTTTTTTTCCTCCTTTTTTTTCGTCTAGAAATCTTGGTGAAAGTTATTTCAAGAGGCCCCAACTTTTCTATCGCCAGGAATTATATTTTTGGCGGCGAACTGGGTCTATTTTTCGAACCGCCAGAGTTGGTTTTTGTCCGATGGATTACACGTCCTCATCTTTACGTCGGCGCGGCCCTCGGGCGTACGATAAGCGCTCAGACATTTGGCAGAGTGCGGGTGGTAGATGGTGCCATCTTTCTTAAAATGCCAGATGATGATTTCTGGCACGGGAGACTTATCTTTTGGACAATTTCTCATGCCGACAAAATCCTTCTGCTCCGGCACTTCGGCACAGAGTTCAGTCACCGAGTTGAAACGGATTTCCAGATTGGAGGTGTATTCAAAGAACTGGTTGCCACCTTGGCCGTGGCATCCGAAAAGGCTCACGTGGGCCCCGGTGGGATTGTGTTCCGGTGAGTTGTAATCCAAACATTCGGACAAGATGCCCAGGTTGTGGATGGCGCCGTGCCAGCCGGGCCGATCCTCTGGGACATGTAAATTGGGGAAGACGGTTTTTAAGTACCAGTCGAAATCCTTACACTGCAGACGCTGCCGTAAGACTTTCCGTTCGGAGAGATCGCCAAAGTTCTCCTTCCGTGCTGGAGGATTCCGATTGTAGAAATGTTCTTTGTAGTGGTCCATCCAGACTTCGGCGGCTCGGGCGGTGTTCTGTAGAAAGTTAGGCCTGGCGTACGGGGCCCGTTTCGGAAAGACGTGCCCGACATGGGAACACGGATGGATTTCCAAGAGGCCGCCACACTGCCAGACGCGGAAAGAGAGCTCCAAGTTCTCCCCACCCCAGACATCCATCCCAGTGTCATATGTGCCGAGATACTCGAAGTATTTTCTGCTGACGGCAAACAGGCCGCCGGCCATGGTGGGCGAGCGGATGGAGTCCACTTTGGACTTCCGGCGTCGCCGCTCGTAGTCGGGCACCACCTGCCACTGGAAGGTGAGACGCCAGTCAAAGCCACCGATCATGGGCTCACCGGACTGCATGTAAAACTCGAAAGTGTTCCAATCGATAGTGTCGATGACTGGGCAGATGACGACGGAATCGTTCTCGGCGATGCGTTCCAGCAAGGGCTCCAGCCACCCAGGGACACACTCGCAGTGGCAATCCAGGAAGGTGAGGACTTCACCGGTGGCGAAGGTGGCGCCGATCAGCCGGGCCCGCACCAGCCCTTCCCGCTTCTGGGTGCGGATCAGCCGCACCCTGGGCAGGCGGCTGAGGTAGGCCTCCAGCTGGGCCTTCAGGTACGCCCGGTCGCTGAGGTCATCCACCAGGATGACCTCTTTGAGGACAACGGCTGGGCTGGTTTCCAGGACGCTGTGGACCGTCCGCAGGAGGGTGGACCAGGCCTCGTTGTAAAAGGCGATGACCACTGAGGTGGTGGGCAGATGGCGGTAATCGTAGACCTTGGCTCGGCACTCGGGCATCCGCCCATCCTTGATGTGACGGTGGAGGGAGATGCGGTCGCTCACATAGATGTTGATGGCATAGCGATCCAGCAAGCTTTCCTCCTGGCGCTTCTGTTCCCCATCCAAGCTCAGGTGGGAGGCCTTGCCCCATTCTCCTGGCGCTGAGGGATCTGGAGGGGGCTTGGGCTGGACCGGTTGGGAAAGTTGCTCGGGCCCCGGGGAGGGAAGACTCCCGGGGGTCGCTCTTCTTCCGGCTCGGGCGCCCGTGGGCGCCCCGAAAGGAGACAGAGAGAGAGGCAGCTGGAGTGCCAGCAAAGCCGCCGCGCACAGCAAGCCTAAAAGCGCGCAGCCACGGCGGGCCAGACGGGTTCGCATGGCCGAGGAGGAGGAGGAGGAGGAGAGGCGGCCGTAGTAGCGAGGAGGAGCGGAGGAGAAGGAGGAAGAGAAGGCAACCAGCGCCTCCTCCTCCTCCTCCTCCTCCCGCTCAGCCCGCCCAGCCGGGACGCGCGCGGTTGTTTGCAAAGGCGAGATTGTCTGTCCCCTGCGCTTTTCGGCTTGGCTTGCAGGCATGCTTGCTCGCCTGTTGCACAAGGACTGCGCGCGGGCGGCTGGGGAGGGAGAGGAAAAGGGGGGGGCTTCCCCTTCCCCCGGTTTCTTTCCAGGGAAGCGTCTCCCCTCCCCCCCCCCAATGGAAAAAGAGGGCCCCGCGAAGGCCCGGCGGGGAGATTGCGAGAAGAAAGGCGAGTGCGGGGGGGAGGGGGAAGATTGCGAGGTTGGTTTGGGCTGAAGACTTCGGACGGCGCGTTGTTCCTTGCGCCTCTCTGTCCGTCTGTCTGTCTGTGTATCACCAGTCTCTCTCTCTCTCTCTCTCTCTCATCAATCTATTCATCATCTATGCATTATTTACCTATTAATCATCTGTTATTTATCACCTGAGTTTACCTATCAATGTTCTTTCTCTGTCATCTATTGTTTAACTATCAATCATCTATTTATTTCTATATTCTATTTAGTATTTGTATCTATCATTTATCTTCTATTATTTACATATCAATCACCTATTTAACGTGCATATCGATCAATCATCTATATTTACTTATCAATCATCCACTTATTATATCTCTCATCTATTATATACCTATCAATCATCTGTATTTATCATCTACTATTTACCATCTATCAATCTATTATCTATTATTATCTTACGTTATTTACGTATCAATCATCTATTTTTCATCTATATAGACAGCATAATCAATTAACCTTGTTAAAACTCAGCCTTTTTTCTGCTATATATATTCACTGTGATTAATATGTGTGTATATCTATGTACATGTATGGATATGCATATACATACACACACACACACACACACACACACACACACACACACACACACACACACA